AAAAAATAAGCTAAATTTATCGGATAATCAGCATATGACTTAGACTACACCCACATAAAACCTCAAGAAAATAAATATTCTAGTTTTCAAGATAAGAAATCGAGGTACGCTGAGCTGTAATTGTACTTTATAGTATAATTAACTGAAGTATTTGGCTAAAACAACAACGAAAACAGTTCCGGATCAGCAACGTTTTCTAATAACAAACAAATTAACTTTGGAATATTCGTTTGTGTCGTGTATACCGAAATTAAAGTTGTTCTTTCTTCTTAACTTAATAACATCTTTTACTTATGCTCTCTGCTGCATTACTTTGCTTGTTGTATCTATTTTCCTTTTAAATAGATTTTATAACTAAAAGGATTGTTTTTTCGCATATTTAAAAAAGGTCTCGTTTCTTGAATAAATCTCCAGTATTTTTATTGTTAAACATTATTCTATCCTTGACATGTTTATTAGGTTTATGATGTATCACAATCAATTATTTCTTGATATAAAGCTATTAAGGATCATGTAAATATAGATAGAAATATATCGAGTTGTTGGTTAGTCCATCAACTTGGAATGATATTTTTGTTTTTGGGTTCAATCTACTTGTTACCATTTATCTTCATCATTCTCGAAAGTTGATTATTATGTTGTTCCTACTCTATAGTCTAACAATAAAATTAAAAATAATTAATATATATTAAAATATATATTATATAAATTAAAAATATTAATATTCACAATTTTTCTCTGTGCTAGTAAATCGTAACGAAATATGTTTGTGTGTTAAAGTTGAGTCGTTTATCCTTTTATAGAGTAGTTCAAATTCTCGACTTTTGTCGTTGCTATGTATACTTAAATTGATAACATTAGCGTCATTCTGTACATGTTAATTGCGTTATTATTTGAAAGAAAATCTTTATAAATATCTTGTCTGGTATGCACGAGCTTATTTTCATTCTGTTTTGCATCTAGTTTCAAATCTTTGAATGTACAAATGATTTCAACATCAGAAGATATATTTTACTGGAGTTGCTCTATGATCTGTTTATTCAAAAAGTACAGAAAATTTCAAAAAAGTAACCATGGGATTAAAAGGATTATTGCTGATTTTTTTTAGTTCTATAATCATATTTACTAGATCATACAGAGCATGTCCTCAAATTTAATTATCACACAGCAGAACTGACACGTAATTTGATCTCAAATGATTATAGAACAACCTCGGTAAAATATATCCTCAGATTTTGAAATCATTTGTACACATTTAAGTGGGGTTATGAAGATTTTAATGTTCGGTAAAGACAGCCTGAAAACCAAGTTTTTGATGAAATTCTAATGTTAGACAAGGTCCCGCTTGGTTCATATTGGAAGAGAACACTTTAGGCTATCTATCTATGGAAAAAGGATCAATATATTGCTATTCAAAATTTTGACTACAATAGTAATAGCATACTAGAACTGACACGTAATCTTACGTGATAATCGACATATTTTCGTACCATCGGAAGTAGAATTAATAAGAAATAAAATAAAAGCAACAAATTTGAACTCATTTTTCAATATATAATATCCAACAACAAATAATCATCTATTAAAAGTTATACCAGGAATAGATGATAATGGACAAGAATCAATTTTATTAGCATTTGCTAGAAACCAGTCTGATCCAGTTTATCCCATAACAACATATTTGGTTCAATAAACAAATAACAAATCAAGTACGTTTTATCCAAACTAAGTGATCAATAAAGAACTAACTTTGTGAATTACGTAACTCAGCAGCAATCTTACAATAAATTGATCAGTGCCACGAGATTCTTTACTTTTATACGTATGTACAGCTGTTTTCTTCCCATTCTTGATAATCAATTGTCATCCAAAAACTTGTGGATAAAAGTTTTTGTATTTTGTGTGATTAACTTATGCTTTGATTCTGTTGACTTTTATTTTAAAAATGATTATCGATTTGTGCGATGTTTTTTTGTAATTACTTGTTAACTAACAGATTTGTACAGGTAATTTGATCTTGCTTTTATCTATTATTGTTCGAATTATTCTTGCACTACTTCATCTTCTTTTGTATATACTATTTTTTAGAAAAATTTAATTCATCTTTTATCCTCCATATCTTACAAAATTATTGACTAAAAAATTACAAACATTTATCATGAGCACGTAAGTCGTTCTATCTATACTCTTCTTTTCGTTGATGCATGTAGATTGACGTGTTTAGTTCAGTTCTGATTCTTATACATACTGCTCTGGACTAAACATCAGTATAGAACGTGTAATTTCGTTAATAATCTTCGGTTAACACATCACTGACTTAATCACCTAATATGTGTCGCATGAATATAGTGTTATAAGCGTTGAATTCTACTTTGTTCTTTCATCTGCTTGTTTTGTTTGTCGTAATAAAAGTAAGCGGAGTAGTAGAAAGATTTTAGTACGCTGACGCCTCTTTCTGCTGATTGTTCCTACTTAGTTAACTCTTTAAATAACAGTTCATATACATTTGGATGATTATTCTAGTGATGAACATACGTACAATATGGGCAGACCCACAGAACAAAAAGCAACAACAGCTTCGGATCCTTTAAAACTTGTATTTCCAATTTTATTGCTTGTATTACAAATCGTATTCGTAATTCTATTTGCTTTTCATTCGAATTACGGCCATGAACCCAAAACGTTAAATGAACATGATCTAATAGCTAAAATAAGCAAGATGATAACAGCAACGAGACAACCAGCAGTTTACTTACCAAATGGAACTATTTATGAGCCAACTACTGTCGAGGATCCGGTATCAGTGCCACATCGCGGCATCAATGATTTATATTCTATGTTTCAAGATATTCATGTTATGATATTTATCGGTTTCGGTTTTTTGATGACATTTTTAAAACGTTATGGGTAAATAAGTTCATTATATATTTGAAACTATTTCTAAAATTGTTCTGACGAATTATTTTAGATACAGTGCTGTTGGATATAATTTTTTGATTGCTGCATTTGTTCTTGAATGGGCATTGCTTGTTCGTGGCTACATGTTTGATTTTGATACTTCAACAAGACAATTTCCAATTGATGTTGAACGAATAATTGTTGCGGATTTTGTTGCCGCTGCTATTTTGATATCGTTCGGTGCTCTATTAGGAAAAACAAATCCGACACAATTGATTATAATGTGTATAATTGAAGTTGCTTTACAAAGTGTAAATGAATGGATTGGTTTAAGACTATTTTGTGCATTCGATATTGGCGAATCCATGTTTGTTCATGTATTTGGTATGTTCTGTTTATTGTTGGTGTTGAAATGAAATGATAACGTTTGTCTCTGTTTTTTTAGGTGCTTATTTTGGTCTAGCTGTGAGTGCTGTATTATACAAAACAGAGAAGGACGATGAAGAAAAAGAAAAACCAATTTATCATTCGGATTTATTTTCAATGATTGGTACATTGTTTTTATTTTGTTTTTGGCCAAGTTTTAATGGTGGAGTGGCGGCAGCGGGTGATTCGAGATTACGTGCAGTTGTCAACACGTACATTAGTATATCAGCTAGTGTATTGTTAACGTATATCTGTTCAAACCTGTTTGGAAAAGGAAAATTTGAAATGGTACATATTCAAAACGCAACATTAGCCGGTGGTGTTGGTAAGTTATATCAACAATGATAAGTCAATTGATCATAATGAATTATCTTCTTTTTCAGCCATTGGAACGGTTGCTGATAAAATTGTTTATCCAGCAGGTGCATTAGTAGTTGGATCAATAGCTGGCAGTTTATCAACTGTTGGTTTCAAGTATATATTACCAAAATTGAAAAAACTTAAAATACATGACACATGTGGAGTATGTTTGTATGAGTGATCTATTTGATCAGACATTAAATTGAACGTTGTAAGCATGTTTAGGTTAACAATTTACATGGTATGCCAGGTTTACTAGCAGCAATTGTTGGAATTATTCTTGCATCTATGCCGGCGTATTCCTTACATGAAAATAATTTATTGTCCTCATGTTTTCATGGAACTCATCGTACAGGATTACAACAAGTTGGATACCAAGCAGCCACACTTGGTATTACATTATCCATTGCAATAGTTGGTGGATTAATTACGGGTTTCATTTTGCGGTTATTGGAGAACAAAAACGTGTTAACCTATTATGATGATGATACATATTGGGATACACCGACAGACTTTCACAATGATGAACTTGAAAATGAGTAATTAATCGCATTGGAATAACAAAATCTTTTCCATTCATAGATGAACAAACTGTAAAATGGAACTATGTATGTATGTGGATGTCTTCTTCAGTTTTTCTTTTATTCTCAGCACAATTTACTTTTTCAGTTTTAAGATGTAGTTTAGCTAAAACAATGAGAACAGTAATTATTTCTTTGTAGTTTAATAGATGTATGTTGTTTAATTACCTCGTTTTTTCTTCCAATATTTGTGATAAAATAGTTGTTTTTCATTGATGAACGAACTATTCGAATTTTTCTTGACATCTGACTACTAGCACACATTGAGTACGAGGTTGCATACTAAGTAGTCCAAGCATTCATAATACTTATCAATCGATAAGCAATGTACAAACTGGTAATTATCAAAGATTACATACACTGGTGATCAAAATTGGTTCAGGTCAAAACCATGTTCGATTTAACTCTGACTTTACCTATTTTCTCCATGATAGGCTTTATTTAGCTGTTCTGAAACCATTTAGATTACAAAAGGAATATCATCAAGAATATCGTTCACGGACTACACTGTAAAAAAGAAAATCCGGTGGTGCTGATCCTATTTGTAGCGGTCTTGTTTTGCCGTACTTTTGAAGTGTTTGACTGGAGAACACTTTGAAAAGTGCTTTAAAGGAAACCACTTGCAAAGCGCTCCTCAGTGGTTACTTGAAAAGTAAACCAAATAAAGACCGCTACAAATCCGATCAGCTCCACAACGCCTTTGAAAGTCGTCTTCTCATCACCTGATAGTCGTTCAAGAGAAAAATTTCTAAATTATTAGAAGAAAATCAGCTTTACATATATACTAGTAGTAATAGCAAAATAAAAGAGGTGAATGATGACAAGTCATTCACTGAATGACTTGTCAGCATGACTTTAAAAAGTGCCTTTTCAAAAAAATGCTTCACGTCACACTGTTTGTCAGTGTTTTCTCTTGGATCACTTCAAAAGCATCTTTCTACTATACATTTTTAAAAATGCTCTTTGCAATCACTTTGAAAGCGCGTTTTTTCACGAAGTGCTCTAGTTTACAGCAGATCAAAAGTGATTTATTTTCACTATACCTGAAAGGGCTATGTTTAGCCATGTGCTTTATAGCAAAACAGTTTTCATGAAAAACACTTTTTGTAGCACTTTATTTTTTACAGTGCAGGTTGAACGTTAGAAGTCTATCCTAAATTAAAACACAGTAACAGAGGAAATTATGTTAATAATGTATGTCAAATCTTTTCTGATAAACAGTTGTTGCAAACGAACTTTTATTTTCAAACAACTGTTTGGAAAACCAATGGCAGGTGTCTGCGATTAATTGAAACGTGTATATCTTTTGTAATTAGCAATACAAAGTCTTTTAAAACATTCTCTTCTATTTTTACTTTGTTATAAAACCATACTGACATAATTTGAAAAAATTTATTTTGTATTTTATCTTTTGTTTTCTCAAATTTCGAGAACGGCTATTTAGGGAGATGCAAATTATTTTGAGAGTATCATTTGATATAATGGATGTTTACTGGAATTTTCGTCAAAATCGAACATAATATATCGCTATAAGGAATTCCCTTTAACCTATACAGATTTTATCATGGACTTATTTCATTTATAAAGGACAACATCGCTTGAGCATTCTTCGTCCGTCTATCTTTGTTCAAAAAAAATATATTTATCTACACAGCAGAAATAGCGCTAGAATAAACTAAACTATTACTCTATATTAGTATGCAATTAAAATTATGAATTGAATTATTATTAGGACAATGTTTTTACTTAGAGTAACGTTGAAGTCAATTTCTGCTAGAAAAGTTCATGTATTTCACTGGATTGATTCTTTTTCCCAAAATTAAACTATTGAAATAAATGATAAGGTTAATTGTGGTCTAAGATTTAACACAAAATTTTTACACCATAATAGTGAGCAATGGACGATAATATTGAATATATTTTACGAACAAGAAATAGTGAAATTATCACCATAATTTTGAGAATTGACCCTTTTTATCTGAAATACAAGCGGATCAATTTACGCTGGTATTCAATTTGAATAATAATAGTAATAATGATCATTATTATTCAACTGTTAAATATCATCTAGTGGTATAATTTGTAAATTAAAATAGGAGTTGAACGTTTCTTGTTAGAGTTCATGAAATTGAAAACTGCAGATTAAAACATAGGAATTTTAAGGGGGGGGGGGGGGCTCGCCCCCATTTTTTCGACCAGTTTGTTGAGCACACTTTAA